ATTACTCACTCAATTGATTTACATGGTTATTTTATTTTGGATAAACATGAAAGCAAAGTTACGTGAATATTTTTAATTTATGCTAAATGATTATATTCTCCTTTCTTATCCATGATATTTGATGTTAAATCTGAAAATTATGTTGGTTTGGCCTATGACATTGTTGATCGAGGGTAAGACATCTATTAAAGTCTCGATGCATCATGATAATAAGATTTTGGGTTCAAGTCCCTTCGCATTTTGACCTAACACGTCTTTATATGAATAAGACGTTGGGTTAAAGTCTTCATGCAATATATTGATATATAATGATGACTGAGCAAATCGATATGCTCTTGATTAAAATAAAAATTGTGAAGTCTGTTCCACTGAATATGCTCCATTCTTTTAAGTGAATGTGATAGCAATACAATAAAAGTATGAAAGATGACAAGATTATTTTATGATTGGACATATGAATATGAACGTGAATGGACAAAATAATAATACGCATCATAGTGAAAATTATAAAAGAAAGAACATTGTGGGTTCTCAAAATGGTCTTTCAAAGAGTGAAGGTAATTTTTGTCATCAAATGATATGAAAGGTCATTAAAAACATGTTTGTTATGCGACCTAATAATTTGATAAGTTTATAAATCCTCCATCAAAGAAAATGATGAAAAAGTGGTGATACACTTGACTTTCAAAAGTGATTTCAAGGTATGTCATATGAATATGATAAATTTCAAAGCATGACATTAAACTTCTAATGGAAGGAATAATTATGAAGCATGTATATATGATTACGGTCAATTCCTTGAAGAGAATGTGACTTGTGATAAGTTTCATGAAAAGCGGACCGTTCTTGAAAATGAATGTGTCAAGAGATGATGAAAATTATAAATAAGGACATACTAATATACTCCCTTCGTTTCACAAAGAATGGTGTACTTTGACTTGGCATGGAGTTTAAGAAAATAAAGAAGATTTTTGAATCTTGTGGTTCTAAATTAAAGTTATGTCAAATGTACAAAATTGTCCTTTAATCTTGTGGCCTTAAACATGCTATGTGAAAAGCTGAAATTAAAATGTTACCAAAAAGAGAAAAAGGTCATTCTTTTGAAACTGACTAAAAAGGAAAGCAGACCATTCTTTTTTAATCGGAGGGAGTATGATTTAATAAATACCACAACTCACTCCTATGGGAGGTTAGAGAGAAATAAAGAAATTTATTTTGGTATGAATGTTCACTGGTCAAGTACTTTTAGTACATCACAAATATTATGGTATGTTTTATTATGAACTACCGAAAGGGCAAAAGAAGGAAATGATTTTTTGCCACAAAAAATATGTTATTAGTTATGTATCTATGTATGCCAAAAATATTTTGTCAGATATTAAATAAAAAGGGAGGAGATACGAATTACAAAAGTAAATCAAGAAACAAGTTTTGCTTGTAATGATTTTGACCATGAGAATAATGAAATAAATTTCTCCTTGAAAGAGATGTTTACCACACAAACAATGTTATGAAGTATGTGGTAGTATCCAATGTTAATTGTGTGCTTTGGTGAGCTACTGTGCTACTACTCAAAGAAATAAAATTACTCATGATATTGGAATTGTAGTAAGTTTCGAAAGAAACTTTTTATGTTTCAAAGAAATAGTCAAAGAAAAAAATATTGAGACTATATAATGTGGAAAGATTTAAGATCTTCATATTACTACAATCAAAGTGGATTATAAATATTTATGTGAAAGATTACCTATTTTTCATATTGTTTGTGGTAACTAAGTATGGGCATGATGGTGGAATCACATGCAAAATAAAGTAGAAGTTTATTGAAATAAACATCAGTTGGCATGACCCGTTGACGACCATCCCGGTTCAAATATTGTTAAAGAATGACAAAAGTCCCACATTGGTGGTTAATGAGATGGATGGACTCCTTATAAGCCTTGGGCAATCCTCCTCCCTTAGAGCTAGCTTTTGGGGTGTGAGTTAGGCCTAAGACCTAATTTAACAAATATATATTACAAAAGTAAATGAGAATTCATGTGGTTATATATTGAAGAAATAATAAATTCTTCAAGAATTCTCTTGTGTTGTTTGATCTCATGATAAATTTATCGTTGTACCAGCTAAGGTTGAGATTGTATCTCCTGAAATTTTGAAATGTATAAAAAGGTGAATATGGGTCCGTTCATCTACCATGTGGACCATTTACTATTATATGATTTTAATAGATGCATTTATACTATGGTCACATGTGCTTTGTAATCAACCTGCAATTTGATTTTCGTAAAGGTTATTTGCTCGAATTGTTAAATCAAAAGCACATTTCCAATTATAAAATTATATTGATGATGCTGATTTATACCAAATGGTTTAAGCAGAAATTATATGCCTTCAATTATAGCTAAACCATTGGTTATGAGAACAAAACTATCAAAATAAATTTAGTATTAGATGTGTTATTTAAAATGTAGCAACACTTGTACGTATTAAGCCAACAAGATTTTCCTATCACAATTGATTCAGGGTCAGGAACCAAATCATTCTCATCTATAAAATTTAAATGTGAAATATATTATTCAATTGCACCACCACTACACAATGCACAAAGATGAGTTCCCAAATAAAGTTGGGTGAATATTAGATTCTCTAACATTAGGGGGAGATGATAAGCAACTGGAAAATAAGTTATACATAATGACATATCATTGATAAGATCCTCGTTGAAAATATAATTTAAGTCAATTGTCAGGCATATTCACTGACCATATGTTATAATCCAGTTATAAATGCTCCAATAAAAGGTCCTTGAAGGACATAATTTATGGCACGCCAAAAGCGTGATAGATAAATCGATTCAAAAGATAAAACTTCTTGAAAAAGAAGAGGAGCAAATGATTAAGATGGTCATAATAATGAGGCAAGTGGTTTAGAAAAAGCACCATGACATAACAATTCATAAAACCTTGGCAAATGATCAGGTACCTGAAATGATGAAAAATAAAGAGAGCTCGACAAGTTATGTCATATTAGAATCGATATCAAATAACCGTCGACGATATTTTTAATATAATATAGCGCTCAAAATTATAAATGACAATGAGGATCTTGATTTTAAATATGTCAAACAATGTGGACAGATAAATGATTGGCCAAAGAAAATACAATTCAAGTATATTTTTATTCACTTGGAAAAGTGATGTTTTGGGCTTATATTGTCCATATATCAAAATATAATGTCAGTGGGGTACAAATGAATTATTGTGCGATAAGTAAAATCGTAAAATATAAAGTACGACTTGTGCATTGGAAAATAAAAAAAATCGCAAAAGTCCTGACATTATTATATGGAAATTTATTCTCTTAAGGTGGACGCAATGAGGTTTCTATTAGTCTGACAATATATGAAAAACTTGAATTAATACGCATGATGAATTATTATCATATGTAGCTAGAATATAAATATTATATGAAAATTCCTGAAGGATTTAAAAGGTTGTAAAGCGATTCCATTGAATAGTACCCCAATAATTGTAAGATTGCATAACATAAAGATCAATTTCAATCTCATTAAAATGGTTAGAAAATACCATGTCATAGTGCAATTGGTGCACTTATGTATCCGGCTATTCTTATTCGTGGTAAATAATTTTATTAATAAGCATGCAGAACATAACATCACTCTTATCAGTGGAGATATTAGAGTGAATCAAATATCGATATAAATTATTAGATCAATTGTGTCAAGATTTATTGACTGTGAAATTGCAGGAGATTATGAAGTTTGACCTGAAGAAAGTTATTTCTTTTCATGTTGGAATACTATCATATCAAATCATTCCACAAGACAGTCAATTTCATTATTATACAAGTGAAAGTATCTTTCAGTGTTTGGTTGTTGCTACTAAAAATTCAAATGAGAAATTTGTCTAAACCAACAAGATCACAAATTGAGTAATTGTCAAAATATATTTGGATGAGATCTATAAACATATCCAGAAAATATGTGATCTTCCTTTGAAAGGAGATATTCCAACAACATTATATGAAGACAATGTTGCATGTGCTCAACTAAGAGAAGGACACATCAAAGGAGACTAACCAAAATATATTTCATCGAAGTTCTTTTTTCTTACTCATGATCTTCAAAAAGAAGATGAAACAAATGTTCAACAATTCGTATTCACCAAGACATTTCCAATTTCAACCTTTGAGAAGCTGAGTTACAAGATCGGAATACGTCATCTTCAAGATATTAAGTAATGGTTTCATCAGGGGGAGTAAATATGCGCTAGATTTTATCGGCAGCTGAGTTACAAGATCGGCAGCGCAGCACTCTTTTTCCCTTAACCAGAATTTATCTCACTGGATTTTCCTGGTAAAGATTTTTAATGAGGCATCAAATAAAGCGTATTACTATACTTTTTCTTTCACTAATTTTTTTCTTTTACATGGACATCCAAGGGGGAGTGTTGTAAAATGGATGTCCACACAATATACTTTGTGTCCAAATAAACTTTGTGGCCAAGTAACTTTGTGGCCAAGTAACGTTGTGCCCAAGCAAACTTTGTCACCAAGTTTCTTTGTGCCCAAATTTTACAACCTCTATATATATATCTCCTCTTGTAATATGAAATAACAACAAGAAGTAAAAACATTCGATAATAAAGGAAAGTTACTACTATTATTATTTTGTTTTTCTCTATCTCTACTCTTCTTAATTTCAATTTATTATCTTCATTTTATAACAATGATATATTTATTAAGAAAGGGTCTTTTTTTTTAATCAAACTATTAGCAAATAGGGGTATTTTTAGATCAAACTATTAATGAAACACATTTTTGTTCAATTTCACATAGTTTAAGTGCATTTATCTTTTAACCTATTTCGTTTCTACTATTGTTTGGTTAGGGAGAGTGAAAAAAGAGAAGTTTGAAAGCATTTCACATTCACTATTCCTCCCCTACCCCCCTCACACACACACACAACAACACAAAATAAATTGATACTACTTGTTTTGGAAATTTCCTTCAAATAGACAATTTGCGTTGAGAAGCTCCTTACAGACACTACTAAATTGGAATATTGCATAAATGTATAGCATAATCATTACTAGATAAGCTCTAACACCAGTAACATTATACTTTTCTAATCAGATGTTGCATTTTCACAAGCACCCTTCATTGCCAATAATGCAGCTCCATAGGCAGCTTCAGTCTGGTCTGCCTTGCACACAGGCAAACCGAGTACCCTCTCCCGTATCTTTATCCATTTTTGGTTTTTAGAACCTCCTCCAGAAGTGATCACTTCTTCAACAGGGGTGGCCCCTAGATCCTTCAGTAACTTGTATCCCTTTGCCTAAATGTCATAATGTCAGTATTAGCAAGTCCTAAATAGAAGCAAGATGTTAGTTAGATTAGGAGGAACATGCCACCAAACTACCTCAATGCGAGCAATTGATTCAAGAATACCATGCAAATATTCAACATCACTTTCTGGACGTGGATGTAACCTGTATGTAAACGGTAAGTGAGTAATGAATTGTGTCGAAGATGAACATTAGAAAGCACATAGATTGGTTATTATGGCAAATAGTTTACTTTTACTTTCTAACAACAACTAATAATCAGAAAAGTGAAGGGGTGCGCATTATGATCTACAAAGATTGGGAATTCGTATTTTCCAAACATTGCAGGTAATAAATCTATCTTCACCATAAGGACATGACTCTAAAGTCCCCCTGCACAAACAACTCCAAACTTCTTTCGCTTGCTGCATATTTCAATACTCTACGCAACAACATACATATGGAGAATTTCAAAAATCCGTGGAATCTACCACAACAAGACACCATGAAATGCGGAGAATCTATTGTACAGTATCTGTTCTTGAAAACAGAATGAGCAGAACTCTAAGACAGCAATAAATTATTTTGGGTTCTAGTGTTTTAAAGGTCTCATATGATGAAATAAACCATCTCTAGTTTATACACAATTTGTATGCTTTGGCCTTTGCATAAAAAGGCAAATCATCTTGCTGCAACTTGTATTGACTAAAAAGTCACAGCATATACGATTATCGTCCCTATTACTTCAGTCATCAAGTAAATGAACGTTGAGCACCTTCTTAAGACTCATGACCACTATTCACAGAGTTGGATTATACTATATTAACAGAAAACAGAACACCAGATAGCACCTATGATATCATCAAATACTTTAACTCTACTTGTATTGAGTAGAATCCTTTAAAGTTAATGTGAGGTTTATAGATTGTTAGCAACTTATTTACATCCTCTAAAATCAGCTAAAAGTGTGTCTCACAGACTTAATTTTGTACAACTCACTAATGGATAAAAAAACAGCTTTGAAATTTATACTGATTATTGTTTTTGTGAGAAAATGTGAAATGAACCAGCCTGTCACTAACAGTTCACATAACAGCAGCCCGATAGGAATCCAGAGAGAATTCCCGCCTTTGATCTTAAGAATCAAAGAAGAAACCATTCCATATAACAAAAATCAATAGGGTTGGTTGGCATTTGTAAATCCAACCATGGATGTTGATGAAAGAGCGAAAAAGATAAAGTGACTGACATGATTGATGAGACTCGTCGTGGATTGATGATAAGTTGGAGGTTTGGAGACAGAATTTGGAGTCTAAAGGGTTTAGGGTGAGAAGGACTAAGAAATAGAACTTAGACTGAAAGTTCAACGACGCTACCCATAAGGTAGATGTGAAAGTGAGGATTGTTACACAGGTCAACTCCAAGAGAGGAAGTTTAAAGTATCTTGGGTCAATAATCTAAAAAAATTGGGAGATTGATGATGAAGTTACACACCGTATTGGAGCAAAGTCGATGAAATAAAGGCTCGCAAAGTGTCTTGTGTGATAAGAATGTGCAAGACTTAAAAGGTAAGTATTATAAAGTGATTGTCAGACCAGCTAAGTTGTATGAGGCGAACTGTTGGCCTATCAAGGACTCTAGACTCGCACGTCTAAAAGATGAAAGTTGTGGAAATCTAAGTTGCTTGGACTCAGGTTCGGGTGTCTGATACGGGTGCGTATCTAGAGGTCGGATCCTCTATGATCTAAATTTAAAATTCGGGAATACAGATCCATGCATATGGATACGGGTGTGGGGATTCGGCTAAAAACAATTCAAATATCTACAATAGAGTTATAAAACCTAAATTATGAGATATTATGGAAAACTTGAGAAGAAATATTGATCAAGAGGAAAATTTTGAAAAGAGATAAAAGGAAAAGGAGTATCAATAGAAATTTATATATACAAGGAATTCCATTTTCTTCAATTTCACCTTAGCTTTTGTTTAGATTACAGAAACCATTGGATCTGTCTAGAATTCCTCCCTTGAATTTGGTCAATTGTAATATGAAAGAATACGAAGAAGTGAAAAACATACAATAATAAAGAAAAGTTACTACTACTACTACTTAGGGTCTTTCTATCTCTACTCTTCTTAATTTTAATTTCCTATCTTCATTTTATAACATGAGAGAATTTTATTTTATTTTTTAAGGAAAGGATGATTGAGTGCATAATGATAAATAGTATAATAAATGATTTGATTTGAATCATCCTGATTTAGGTGTTAACACACAAAAAAAATGACACGATTAATATTGTAAATGAATGATTCTAAAACATGTATGATTATAGTTTTTTTGATGGGTCGATATTGATGAAAAACTCTTAGAGTTAGGGGGATGAAGCCTGGTACGAAATCACTCATTAAATTGATTGATCAATCCTACCTGTGGTAGATCCAAAATTTAGACGCTACTCGTAGGTACTAGCTAAAATATATTTTGTACTTGATTTTCGTATATATATAGGGTTCAATGACCATGAAACCCATGATTGGATCCGCTACTGACTTGTCAATAGAATGATTTCGAACCAGACATCATTCTCCTCAACAAAATCTTGGTGTTTCGCTAATATTTTACTTTGGAGTAGAGGAAGAAGAAGAAGTATGAATGTATAATATTGAAGTTGAGAATGAGAAAGAGAGAATTTCTTGATATTAGTTAGTATTGTAAATCAAGGGTAAATATATCCACAAGATATACAAAATTATAGACAAAAAACATGTATGATTCTAGTGTTTAAATGTCACGATATTGATGAAAAACTCGTAGAGTTGAGGGGAATGAAGCCTGGTCCCGAAATCACTCACCAGATTGATTAATCAAACGATTTAATCTGTGACGTTCAGAAATTAGACATTTTAAAATCTAAAACATATATTGTACTTATTTTTCGTACATATATAAGGTTTAACAACCTTGAACCCTGTGACTAGATTCGCCACTACCTTTTCTATTGAATGATTTCGAACCAGACAACATTCTCCTCAACAAATCTTGATTTTTCCCTAATATTTCACTTTGGGGTAAAGAAGAAAAGGAAGAAGAAAGAAGTAGGAGTAGTAGTAACTAGTAAGGATGCATGACATATATATAGGGCCCTTAGTTATAACTTATACGTGACAAATGACTATTTTGCTCTTTTAATTTTCTAGCTAATAATACTTTTGTAGTTCTTTTCTATTTTTAAGAATTCATTTAAATTTTGAACGGTAAGAAAAAAATACTTTTTTGTGTAATTTTAATTGAGGTAAGATTTGGGTTAGGGAAAGTTATTACTATTTGCATCTACGAATTCGAGTAACAAGATTTTCTCTATATCCAAGATCAAGACTCGAACCCGAGACCTTTAATTGAGGGTGAAGCAGTCCCACCACCGCGCTACAACTCACAGAGGAAACTGATTAGTTTGAGCTCATAAAGCTTGCATCTATGATTTTGTTCAAAGTGATGTAAATGCCATTTGTAATATTTTAAAAAGGGAATATTATTACAATTGATAGCTACCTAATAAAATCCCTTAATTACCCAAAAAAAAAATAATGAAGATATACACCTAATAATAGAATATATAAATTCCTTTAAGAAAGAAAAAAAGGTGTCAATCTGAGGTCGTAGGTGCATTTGTAAGCTTTTTTATATTCCAAGGAATTGTTACATTAAAAAAAAGAATATTTTCATGGAATATTGAATTATTTGCTGTATAATAATTTACATATATATATATATATATACTAAACATCGGAGCCCGTGCTAGCACGGGCCCAATATGTATCATTTTTTGTTTCAATTTATGTGACAAAGACAAAATTAAAGAGTTAATTAAACTTTAATATTAATTTAAAATAGTTTAAATTTTTAATTATTGTTAACTATGGTAAAAAAAATTTATGTCTTTTAACATTCTAAATTGCTAATTATTGTTGTATGATTTGTAATATCTTTTACGCAATTTTCAAATAATAAAGGTTATTTCTTCTTTCTCAATTTATGTGGTACTAATAAAATTTCGAGATTCAGTCAATTTTTTTTGTCTTTAAAATATTCTATTGTTAATTACTGTAAATTATTGTACTTTGTAAGTAATTTTCAAATAATATATATTATTTCATTTGTCCAATTTATGTGTCACCGATAAAATTTGAAGAGTTAATCAGATCTTTTACATATTTTTATATCTTTTGAATATTTAAGTAAATAATTATTGTGATTTA